GCACTTAACATTTTTTTTTTTTTTTTTTAATATTTTGTAGGAAGCAACCGTTTTTGTGAGGAATGGATGCAGGCTTTCTTGCATGGTGCTGAAGGGGGGAACCCTTTTCTTTTTAGACAAGTTCTGGAGAACTTTAAACTAAAGGTAATGCATTGGCTGTGTGCCAAGGGCCACTTGCAATATTTTTGGTGTGAATTTGATCGTTGCCAGGGACAGCATCTGCGATCTGACAGCTGCGATGTCCCTAGAATGGAGCGTCCCCAGAACTCCAGGCGTCACGACACTTGCCCTTTCAGCAGCTTTGCATGCAGTTTCGTTTCCAAGAAGCTGTGTTGGATGCTTGCTTATATTCAGGGGACATCAAGCTGACCAATGTGTGATGTATCTCAGTTGCAAAATGCAGAGATACGTGATGGGAGAGTGCTGCCACCTTAAAAGATTTAAGTCTTTTTCTACAGGAGAAGCTGTTACACCAAAGGCAAAGTATATTAGCAATAGAAATAATGGGATATTTACAATAAAAAGCCAACATTGGCACATATGCTGAGGGCTCAGCTTGATAAGGGATATTTCTCAAGCTTCGTTACTATCTCATTGAACACATACTTAATTAACTGAGTCTTCTTTTTCTAGGCCATACAAGACACTAACAATTTGAAGAGATTTATCCGGCAGGCAGAAATGAATCATTACGCCTTGTTTAAATGTTACATGTTCCTTAAGAACTGTGGTAGTGGAGACATCCTTTTGAAGATTGTTAAAGTGGAACATGAAGAAATGCCTGAGGCCAAAAGTGTGGTAGCTGTTCTGGAAGAGTTCATGAAAGAGACACTGGTCTAAAGCGTTGATCATGTGTTGGGACCACTGTTTCATGAGGTTGTATGTTTAAGCTTCTTGTTTGAAATTGCTGTTGCTATTGTTGATAGGATTACACATAAGGTTCTTTTTTCTTTTCATAATTTTTTTCTTTAACTTAATTAAACATACAAGTTTACCAGGCCTTGCCTTTAATCCAAGCAAGGAGGAAGGAAGACTCTGAGTTGAAGGCCAGCCTGGTCTACATAGTGAGACCCTGTGTCAAAAACAAACAAGCAAGCCCGTGAAAGCTTCAGGAGTGTTCTCACTGAGATCTAGGAAGGTAATGTGTGTTACAGTTGTGGAATTCTGGTATATTGCTAGTCCCATCAGTTCTAAGCTTCAGAAATCTGTTGTCTAAAAATCTTTATAGGGTGAATTTTGGCTTCTCATGAATTTACTATAGTATTTAAGCAAATTTTCCTCACAGAAAAATCCTCACTTCTTTCTCAATAGACTGTACACGTTTCTGAAGTATGTAATCCTTGCTGGGTATGTGATACAAGCCTAGAATCCCAGCTACTCAGGAGGTTCAGGCAGGAGGTTCTCAAATTCCAGGCTAACCTGAGCTACAAAGTAAGTCTGCATCCAGCTTGGACAACATAGCAACACCCTGTCTTATACAAATCCTCCTCCCCCTCCTTCCTCCCCCTCCCTCTCCCTCTCCCCCGTCCCCTCCTGGGAGGACAGAGTAACACCATTACACTATTTCAAAGACAGATCTTTGCATTCTGTGGGAACCTGATACATTTTGGTTTTTTGTCTGATTGACAGTTGATATGGAGATGAAATCAGGTTTTAAACCAATATGCAAATAAATCACCAGTGTTTAAGAAATTAAATTAGCTTTAAATTAGATGCACTTGGACCAGCAAGATAGCTCAGCAGGTAAAGAAGCCTGCCACCAAGTCTGATAACCTGAGTTTTATCCCCAGGGTGGAAGGAACCACAGTGTGAAAGAAGAGAACCGATTCCCACAAGCTGCCCTCTGACACCCCCCCTCCCCCACATACACACTGGCACATACACATGCACACCCACACAATCAATCAAAAAAAATAGAAGCACTAACTTCACTAAAACATCCCCGATGAAAAGCTATTGCAACTAGGCATGGTAGCACACACCTTTAATCTCAGCACTCGGGAGGCAGAGGCAGGTGG